ACGGGTCGAGACTTCCGGGGCCCCCTGCAGTGAAAAAACAAGACATCGGATCTCGGGGAAGACCACCCCCCTCCATCCTCACCCCCCCCCGCCACGACCTGGGCGCCCCCCCAATTGGAAGGAACGAGCAGCTCCATCATACAATGATTCCTCGGAGGTCCGCGCGGACCTCTCTCGGGGGAGAGCAAACATGGATTGGCGATCAGTGGTTTTGGCACGCAGTCGCCAAATCCATGGATCGGGGGAGGTGCCCTCCCCAGAATGCGGCCAGTGCCGCCTCGCTCGGCGGCGGAGATCCGCGATGTCCCACGGAAACGGGACCCGTCGCTAATCCACGCCCCCATTGATCCATTTCTCGCATCGGCGCTGGCCCCCCTCCCCCGCCCCTGGCGCGCGGAGCGCGCCAGGGGCGGCGAAGGAGGCGCCCTCCAGCGTGCCCAGCGCCGATCCGAGAGATCTGCGCGGAGCTCAGCGAGAGTACGTTCATATGTCCCCCTTCAGGTCGCCATGCCTAGGAGGATGTTAGCACGTAGGAGAAGGAATATGCTTAGCACGTCGTTTCTATGTTTCATAGAGCTCAGAGAGACATCATATGCCTAGTACGTAGGAAAAGGATTCCCTACTCCGCCACCGTGCCTTCGGGCCTGGAGTGGGCGTGTCCTCGTGTCCCTTGTTGTAGTCCTCGGTCCACTGGGTCAAGGATTATCAAGGAGCCCGGACCCCAGAGGGCCAACTCTCTCGCGGCTTGTCGCATCACTTTTTTCGGCCCTAGATGGCTCCTAGACGGGCCAAGAGGGCCCCCAAAGGCCCCCAACACGGTCCGAGATTGCCCTGAGTCGCCGAGTGATCGGTCCCAGACGCCCAAGATGGCCTCCAGGCGGCCCCAGAGGCCTCAAAGACGCCCCCCAAGAGGGGCCTCCAAGAGGCCTCCCAAGAGAAAGAACTAATTGATACCCCTAAGGTTTTCAAAAGGATTTTGGCTTTCTCACCTTTTTGGCTTCCCGACGCTCCAAGACGCCCCACGAGGCGCGCAAGATCGCCCCAAGAGGCTTCCAATAGGGTCCCCAACACAGCCCATGAGGGCACCAAGACAGCTTAAGAGGCCTCAAGGACGGTCCAAAAGAGGCCCCCAAGACGGCTCCAAGAGGGGTCCAGACGGGGGCCCAAACGGACATTTCGAGCCCTCGGCCCCCAGAGGCTCCCAGGACCCCAGATGCCCCCAAGATGCCCCCATGAAACCCTAAAAGGCCCCCGAGAGGTTCCCAATAAGCACCCATGAGGTTCCCGACAGGCCCCCCAAACTGCCCTCAAGAGGATTCCGAGAGCGCCCCGAAAAAGACCTCCAGAAACATCCCCGGGGACCCTGACCCACAGTCGAGGCACGGTGGCGGGATGGGCCGAAGGCTAATCGTGAAAGCAAGGGCCACAAAGGAGTTCTATGAAGGGGACGGGGCGCCCGAGGCAGCACTGGTCCTTCCAGCCATCTCGCCTGAGACAGACAGGCAGAGGCTGACCCGTAAACGGGCGAGGCTGCAGCGCGCAGGGCTGAGCGTACGCGCGTGCATGGGAGGGCAAGCGTTGTGCCTCCGAGAAGGGGAGGGAGGAGGAGGAGGAGGAGGAGAATGAGGAGGAGGAGGACGAGGACGAGGACGAGGAGGAGGAGGAGGAGGAGAATGAGGAGGAGGGCGGTCCTCACACGTGAATGCAATACTCGGCGAATGATCTTTCATCGCGTTCCCATCCTGGCGACTTCATACCATCTCGCCTGAGACTTCCTCACAATCCATTCCGGAACCGCGCTCTCGCCTCAACGCCAGCTACCACAGGGGGGGGGGGAGGGGGCGACTTGGCCACGACCCCTGGCGCAGTCGGCTGCTTGGAACACCGTCAGGCTGGCCCACCGCGGCACGCCACCCAGGGCCCCGCCTGGCAGGAGCACCGCCCAGCGGGAGCGTCAGCACGCGAGTGGCAGAGAGTGGTACAGAAAGGGCCCGACCACAAGAAACATTCCACAAAACACCCAACCCTGAGGACCCAAGACGCCCACCGATTTTTGGTGGGGGTCGTCACGCTCTCCATGGCAGAACCATCGACACCCAAGAACCCCAGGGCACCCTGGAGGCAGGCGCGGTGTTTTTTGGTATGGGTCTCCATTGTAACGAGCCCGTTCTGGGCTCTTGCCGTCGCTCGGACGTCCATTTCCCGTGCATTTCTCGGTTTCGTGCGTGCTTTTCTCTACCCGATGGTCCAGGATCGTCCTCAATGGTCCTCGCCGAGAAAAAATGCACTCGCCCGAGCGATGCCAGGGGCTGGCACTGGCGCCCAAGCAGGGCCCCGCACGTCTGGGCGGCCGAGCAGCGGACCAAAGGGCGCAAGCCACGAGCGTCGCGGCACAGCCCCTCCGGGCGCGGCCGCAGCCTGCCAGCCGATCAAGCCCTCCACCAGCCCAGCGAACCCGCCGCGCTGGTCGGACGACCGGCCAACCAACGAGAACGCCAATACGCCGCCCGCCGACCAACCAGCCGGCAGACCAACCAGGCCAGCGACCAAGCCAACCAGCCGAGCGAGAAGACGGCCGCCTGCCGTCATGCAGTGGCAAGGACGTGATCAGAACCGCCTGCCTGCTGTCTAGCAGTGACAAGGCCATGACATCCCCTTCACATTCCCTGGAAGCGAAGACGCGTGGAAACCAAGAGGCCCGACAAGAGCCTGTGCTCCGTAAGACTCTCCTGCCCCAAAATCGTTTCGCGATTTAGGGCCCATTCAACAATGCACCGAAGTGCAGCTTTGCTGCTACCAAGGAGCTCTGCTGTGGTATACGTAATCGCTCGAAAACCCCGGCCCTCGATCCCCTTCTTCCGCCCCTCTGCGGCAACTCGTGGGAGCCTCCCATACCATCCCGCTGGCTCTTGCGAGCCGACGTCGACGTGAGATCTGCGCTCCCGTATCGATCACCAGACACTGCCGCGCGCTGATGCCCCCTAGAAACGCAATTTCGGGTACACTCTTGACGTGACGGCGCGGCGAAGGCGATCCACTCGCGCGCTCTAGTAGAAGGGGACGCGCGGCGTACGAGTTATCGGGGAGCAAAAGGAGGAGGAGGAGGAGGAGGAGGAGGAGGAGGAGGAGGAGGAGGAGGAGGGGGAGGAGGAGGCGGAGGAAGAGGAGGAAGAGGAGGAGGAGGCGGAGGAGGAGGCGGAGGAGGAGGAGGAGGAGGAGGAGAAGGGAGGGGGAGGAGAGACATGAGGATGAGGAGGGGGAGGGGGAGAAGGAGGAAGAGGAGGAACAGGAGGAGGAGGAGGAGGAGGAGGAGGGGGAGGAGAAGGTGGAGGAGGAGGAAGAGGAGGAAAAGGAGGAGGAGGAGGAGGAGGAGAGGCAAGGAGGGAGAGGGCGGCCGCGGAAAGCGGGCGGGGGAGGGGGGCACGCACCACGGACAGAGTTTCAGGATGAACGCGCCAGTGCTGTCGGCCTGTGCCGGGGCGACCTGGTTGCGGACGCGGGGCGGCGCCGCGTCCACGCATCCAAGAACTTCGGGGACACGCGAGGCTCCCACGAGCTGCTACTGAGCCGCCCCCCTCGCCCGCGCCACGATTTGGACGCCAGGAATGGGTACAGACAGAATGGGTGCAATGCCCAACAGCAAATGTTGCCCCAAACTAGCGGCGGCCGCTGTTAGGCGGGTGGTCGTTTGTCTCAGATGGGCACGGGCCGCGGCGGCGTGGGCAGCGAGTCCTGTTCAGGATGAGCAGGGACTGCTGTTGGGCATTGTACTCCTTCTTTTGCGTACCCATGTCTCACTGCACCGACCTTGCAGACGTGTTGCAACTGATTTGTGCGTGAATTTCTGTCATGGGGAGCTAAATATCGACACCCACCCTGCCTTGCAGCGCCCATGTATGCATATTTTCGGCAGAGCCCGCGGATGGCCCCGAATGATCTCCCGATGTCGCATTTCTATCGTCGGCAAGACTGGCAGGATGCACATGGCCGAACAAGCCACGCGCGCGGGGCCGCACAAACCTGAAGCTTCCGTCCTGGAGCACGCGCAAGCAATTCGCGGCTTGCTGATATGAGCCAGCCGCGCGGCTCTCGCCGCAGGCACTGACATGGCGACTCAGCGCCAGAGGGTTTCCGTTTCTAGAAATACGCCAATATTCGGTGCACCGGTTTTGGTGGGTGTATACGTCGTTTTCTTGAAACGTGTGTTATATTTTCGCTCGGGTGTATAAGTTGCTGGGTGGGTGTATACTTCGCTTGGGCGAGTGTACATATTGTTTTTGTTGGTTCTTGTATATACCCGCAGTCCCGCGGAAAAACGAAACGCCTCTGGAAATACCCCGGATTTGCGAGGGGCGGTCCCACCCGTGCAGACGAGTACGAGCATCATCGATGCTGGCGGCGACATGTATGGCCGCGTGCAGTCGGCGGGCTCGCTGGGACCCCGCGAAAGCGGCCTCCGCGAAGCGTCGGTAACTCGTCCAAGACGTCCCCTGCGACCCCCCGAAGTCGTCATAGTTGGGCCCCGAGGCAAATTTCGCGTCACGAATCATGGAAATAGATTGGCATCTGTATTGCGGGGTGGGTGTCGTAATCTTGCTCCCGATGTCAACGCAAGACCCCGAAACGGCGAATGAACAACGAAGTGAATTTCGCGTGGATGATTTAAGGTCTTCGCCCCTGGCCTAACAAAAATCCGCACGGAACTCACCTCGGAATCCGAAACGAAATTCTCCAGGACGCCCGGGGCCCACTAGATCGTTTTTCGAACGAAATCCGCTTTGCGATGTGGGCGCCATGCGATTTCCTGGAGATGGGTCTGGAAGGCAACGGGTCCTGGATCACGGGGCTCTATCCAGGGACCAGTCATGGGGGACGTCCCCCAAAGGCCGCACTTTGCCAGAAATCTCAGGACCTGGTTTTTGTTGGACCTCCACGGCTTCACCACATCAGCCAAACAGGCGACTCCTTGAAGCATCTGTGGGAAATGCTGTAAGCAAAATTCACACAGCAGCAGGTGCAAAAAACCTCGCCTCGGCGAGCGCCAGCAACGTGGCATCCGTCGGTTGCACAAGACTTAGGCCACTGTTGCATGCCTTGAAAGCCCCCCTCTGGCCTGCATAAGCAAGAGGCAGTCCAGAACCAGGAGAGGGCCCAAGGGTGGGAGGCGACGGGATGCACAGGTCGGGGAGCACAGAGGCTGACCTCCCCCGTGCCCCGCGCTCTCGGTAGGACAGGCGGCTCCCCTGTGCAACGGACACCGCAGGGGGAGAATTACCTCCAGCGCCCCACGGCCGTGCAAGCAGGGGGAGGTGGGCAGCACGCAGTAGTGAAAAAGGACAGCCTGGGGGACCTCAGATCGAAACCTTTCTCTTTCAGGGAGGGGCTTTGGAGGCCTCCCAGATGGGGCTGGAGTAGACGAGGTCGGGCGTGGTGAGCGTTTTTTTGTTCGGCGTTTCGACACTGGGCGGCGCCATGGGGTTTCCTTCGTGCCCACACGAGGGGGCGCCTGCAATCCGCCGCCCGCGCCAGCACCCTGCGGCGGCGGCGCCGCAGCCTGCGGCGCCGCCTGCGGCGCGGCCTGCGGCGGCGCCGCGGCGGCGTCGGCGCCGTCCGCCTGCGCCGCGGGCGGCGCCGTGTCGGCGGCCTGCGCCGCCGCCTCCTGGGTGGCCTGCGCGGGGAAGGGGAGGACCCGCTGAGTAAAAAATCTGGTGGTTCCACGTCGTCGGGATACGTCCAGGGGTGCTGGAGACGGGTTGGGGGGGGCATGGGCTCCTCATGTGTGTTTTTCGATGTTCCCCGACCCCCCCCCCACTGGAAATGGAAGGCAAATTGAAACCTTTCGGGTTAGGTTGGGGTGGTTTGGTGGGTGGTGAGACCAGGGACACCATACACGTCGGTCGGAAGTAATGGGTAAAACCATCAGGTAGGAAGGCGGATGAGCCAGATCGGGTGCAGGCCCTCCCACAGAATACCAAAACACAGCAAAAGCACATCGACTCTCAGGAGGGCGCTTGAAGCAGATTGGGATATGGGGATCCATAAACACCTACTTCCAACGACCGGCGTGTAAATCTTCGGAAATCCGAGCGGATTTCTTGGGTCACCGCTGACCCCCCTCCCCTGGCGCGCGCAGGGTGACAGGAAGAGGCGGGGGGGCCGTCCTGAGCATCCTTTCGCCGATCATTATCCCCACTGGCGTGGCAAGGGCCCCACTTGCAGGGGTGCACATCCTTGTTCCTTATTATTATATACCCCCACCTACCTCGTATTCCGGCCGATAGCGACCCAATCCGGGACCTCCCATCCGGACTGTAAAAACAAAACAAAAAAAAACAATACAAAGTGGCCGTTTTTTCTTCTCAGCATCGTCTTTCTTGTCGTCGGCGATGCGAAAAGCGTGGCAGGAATGGGACGCGGCGAACATCGCGCGCGGCAGTCAATCTGGGCCCGCCCACCCTGATTGTAAAAAATCAATACCAAGTCTTTGTTGTTTCCTCTCAGCATGGCCTGCCGTGTCGCCGACGGTGCGAAATATGTGGCAGCAGCGGGACGCGGCGCACATCGCGCGCGGACGTCCATGTGGGCCGCGGGCCCTCCCATCCTGACTAGTGCTACTAGTACCATTGGTGCTACAACTACTACTACTACTACTACTACTACTACTACTGCTACTACTACTACTACTACTACTACTACTATTGTTACTACTTGTTCTGCAAATTGTACTATCAATTGCATTACTACTAGTCTAACAGAAGTACAAGTATTACTAGTACTTCTACTTCCATAGTGCTACTACTCTGTACTACTACTCGTACGAGTACTTGTACTACCCGTAGAACTTCTGCTTATAGTACTCGTATTATTACTCGTACTACGAGTACTACTCCCTATTCGTATCCCCACTCTACTACTACTACAACTGCAAGAACAACAACAACTACTACTACTACTACTACGACTACTACTACTACTACTACTACTACTACTACTACTGCTACTACTGCTACTACTGCTACTACTACTACTACTACTACTACCACCACCACTACCACTACCACTACCACTACCACTACCACTACCACTACTACCACTAGTAGTAGTAGTAGTAGTAGTAGTACTACTACTACTACAACTACTACAACTGCTACAACTACTACAACAACAGCTACTACTACTACAACAACAACTACTACTACTGCTACTACTACTACTACTGCTACTGCTACTGCTACTGCTACTGCTACTACTACTACTGCTACTACTACTACTACTACTACTACTACTACTACTACTACTACTACTACTACTACTACTACTACCACTACCACTACTACTGCTACTACTGCTACTGCTACTGCTACTGCTACTACTACTACTACTACTACTACTACTACTACTACTACTACTACTACTACTACTACTACTACTACTACTACTACTACTACTACTACTACTACTACCACTACGCGCCAGCACCCAGCTGCGCCAGCATTTTTTCTTATGTTGTGGGAGGGCGGGACGTGTCCGTTGTTCCATTCAACATGGCCAGTCTTGTCGTCGACGATGCGAAATGCGTGGCGGGAATGGGACACGGCGCACATCCCGCGCGGACGTCAATGCGGTGTCCTGGGGTATCCTCCACTCGCACTGAAATGCGCGCGCAGCCCCCAGTTGTGCCATCACTGTTTCTTATGTTGTGGGAGGGCGGGTGGGAATGGGCATGCCATGCTTTACTCGCTCTAGCTGGCTAGCTTGATGCGAACCCTACCCCTACCCCCCACGATTTCTAAGGGAGAGGATGGGGTTCACTTCGCTCGGGAGCTTCCGAACGAAGTGAACCCCACCCTCCCCCTCAGAAATCGTGGGGGGTAGGGGTAGGGTTCGCATGTGGCCCCCTAATTTGCCGATTCGCCCTCCTAGCTGGGGACGTGGACTGCTCCCTTTGAGAGCTCAGAGGGGCCCATCCCCAGCAAGGGGGGGTGGGATGGTGGGGCTGAGACACCATGGCCTCGTTCCGGGGCGCGCAAGCATGGATTAGCAATCCATGGATTTGGCGCGCGGTCGCCAAATCCATGGATCGGGGGAGATGCCCTCCCCAAACTGCGGCCGGTGCCGCCTCGCTCGGCGGCGGAGATCCGCGATTTCCCACGGAAACGGGACCCGTCGCTAATGCACGCCCCCTAGATCCATATTTGCGATCGCCTGACTGGTGGGGACGGGAACGCATTAAACAAAACTGATGTGTTCGCAGGTGGCAAAACCTCTGACGCATTGAAAAATGCAATCCGGGGTCCGGGAGCATGTCTCGTCGATTTCGGCCTCGGGGGCGAGGGGGGCTCAAGACCGTCAAAGAACTTCCGTCGAGGCCCCCGCGTCGAAAACTAAGACCACAACGGACTTCTCGGCGCGCCACCCTTGCAGACGTGCTGCAGCGGATTTGTGCATGGATTGCTGTCCATGCAAAGCCCCGAAACGGCGAGTGCAAAACGAAACGAGTTTCGCGGTGACTTGTTTTAAACTTCACTCCTGGGCAACAAACATCCGCACCAAATTCACCTCGAAGTCGGGAATGAGTTTCTCCAGGACCCCCTGGGCCCACTCGATCGTTTTTCGAACGAAATCCGCTCTGCGATGTGGGCGCCATGCGATTTCCTGGAGATGGGTCCGGAAGGCAACGGGTCCTGGACCACGGGGCCCTATCATAGGGACCAGTTGCGGGGGACGTCCCCCGCAAGCCGCACGCCGCCAGAAATCTCAGGACCCGTTTCCTTCAGGGAGAGGCTGTGGAGGCCTCCCAGATGGGGCCGGAGTAGATGAGGTCGGGCGTGGTGAGCGTTGTTTGATTCGGCGTTTCGACATTGCGCGGAAGGGGAGGGGGAGGGGGGGGTCTGGCTCCGGACCTCTGCTCAGTGCGACTGTTTGGAACCGTGTGTCCATTCTGGGGGAGACTCAACTGGCTCGAAACAGGCGCCCAAACCAGCCAAGATCCACTCCATCGGGGGGTGCGAGGGCCCGCGCCGATCGGCAAAACAACGAACAAAAAAACGACCACGTGGGGTCACCAGACGGCTCGCGCGGTCCGTCACCACACCATCTTGGGAGGACGACCCATAGACATCCACCCAGATTTGCGCGGACACCCCAAATCTCCACAGGCTTACCTGACGGTGTGATCACCGAACCTTTTGGGGACTTCCGGACGGGGAATTGTGGAGGCCTCCCGAGTCGGGCCAGAGCAGCATACGGGGTCGAAGGAATCGCACCACATCGCCGATGCCTCGGTAACCCGCTTCGCCGATGCATCGGCTGCATCTGCGACGGCGGGATGGGGAATACCAGCTCCAGAGCGCGCCGCATCGACGATGTGACTGGGATGCGGCACGATCCTCCGACCCCCTCTGCTCCAGCTCCACGTGGGAAGCCTGAGGGGGACAGACCGTTTTGGTGTTTGAGGACGACGAGGGTCGAGGGTTGAAGGGTTCGGGGATGGAAGGTGTGAGGATGGAGGATGGTTTTTGAATTCAAAAACTGTGACTTGAATTCAAGATTCACCGAAACCAATTTGAATGTTAAAACTTGTTTGTTGTGACAAACAAAACCAAATTTTGAATTCGACAAGCATGTTTTACGCAATCGAATGCCAGCTTCTTGCTCGAAAACAAGGATTCTCAAGGGCTCGAGGATGGACGATCGAGGCTGGAGGTCTGAGGGAGGAACGGGGCCCGATGCCCCAGGCTCGAGGATCGGGGCTCGATGACAGGAGGTCCGGGGAGGAGGGCTCGAGGAGGGAGGATCGGGGAGCACGGAGGCTCGAGCACGGAGGCTCGAGGAGGGAGGCTCCACGTCCGAGGTTCCGAGGCTCGAGGATGGAGGCTCGAGGCTTTTTGTAGGCAGTTCTTCGTTCGCCTGGAGAGGGGCAGGGGGGGGGCGGCCTTTGGCGACGGGCGTGGATTAACCAAGGGGCCCAAGTACACACAAATAACTACACACAGTTCCCAGGAATCCCAATATGTTCTAAAAACTTTCTGGGTTCTCGTCTTCCCCCCCTACTTCCCATATTTTCCAATGTGCCCCTGGAAGTCCACAGATAATTGTGTCTGTGTTTTTCCCCCTCCTGACATCAATGGTGTGGGGGAAGAAAAATGCACTTCTCAACCCCTGAAGGGCCCCTTGTCCGCAGCCCTCGCTGCCCACCCAATTTGTCGCCCCCCCCCCAGCACGCGAAGCCCAACGATCTCCAAAGCATCGGGCCCCCGATCCTGGGGAGGCCTCTGAAAAGATGAGTCCGAGGCCAGACCCATGGGGCACGATGCCCAACAGCGAATGTTGTGCAGCGGCCGATGTCGGGCAAGACCGCGTCCTCATATGGGGAAGCGTCCGCGGCGACACCGCCAGCGAATGCTGTTCAATGTGGCGAGGAACTCCTGTTGTAGGAAAAGAAACATATAACATTAACGGTTGGCGTTCCGCGCACTTCTTGGATCTACGCTAAGACCCCGGCGGCGCGTTATGGCGTTTGTTCTCCTTCGATGTTGAACATCGTTTTCGTACTTTCAATCCCCATGCCGGTCTTCCCTATTCTGCGGTCCTGGGACATCGGTTCTCCAGCGGTAAGCATGTAATTAGCAGCCGCCCCTCGCGGGCGGGACGCAGCCGTGGGATCGCGCCTCGGTGTGCAAACCGTGAAGGCATGGATATGGTATTAGGCATGTTGAACAGGGGCCGACCGTCCCGGCATTCCTGTAGGCCTACCACGAGATGTCCTGAGAACCCAGACATGTTTTAATGACGAAGCACCGTGTTCTTGGAACATAAACCCGATGTGTTAGAACGAGACAATCCCAGCCAAACGCGTTCGAATAATATTTCGTGACAGTCGCAAAAGGTTGCTCGACCATTCTTTGGTGGGCCTCTAGGCGAACCAGGACGCTTCGACACTGCTCGAGCATGGACATTGGTCCCTGGGTCCCCCCGTCCATCTGGGCCTATCTTCCATCCTGGCTCTAACAATCCCTCACGGCCCGAGGGGGTCTGTCTCTGACGGCACTGGGGCCCGAAAGCGGCCTCCGGACCGCGACAGAAAAGGAACACATCTCGGCGACGACCGAGGGTGGGGAAATGAAAAGGAGAAGGGCTTCTCAGAAGGTTCGGAAGTCCCCTGGCCTTCTGACAAGTTTTCTCAGCCTGCCCCGAAGACGCGCAAACACCTCTCAGAAGGCGCAAAGGCTTCTGAGAGGTCCCGCCGCTGTCTGAAAGGGCCTTCTCCTTTTCACTTCCCCCCCTCTCTCGCCGCCGAACGCCCAAATTTAGGTCGGGCATGTCCTCTGACAGGCGGATTTTGGACGACAGACGACAAACAGCCAACACAAACAATCAGGAATTACTCACTGCGTGGAGCTCCCCATATGTGCATCCACTCTGAAAATAATATTGTATTTGGGATATGAGAATGAGCGCCTAGCCATATGAGCCGTATGTGCATCTCAGAGTGTAGGGTAATGTTATGGTGAACGTATGTCTATGATCGTTTTGTTATAAGAGCGCATCTACGTGAGCGACGGGTACAGGCGCGAGCAGCCCGGCTGAACATCCAACGCATGTATATGTTCACCCGCAAGCGTATATCAGCGCATCTTTTTTGTCAAAGACAAGAATTCATTGGCATTGCGTCGCAAACACCGTGGCAGAGGTCGTTGCATGTGCCGCCCACGCCCAGATGGGGCTACCTAGTAGAAGATCCTAACACAATTGCGTTAGTTCCCCCCTTACGACCAAACACGAAGCAAAGCTCCTCTCTCCTCCTCCTCTCGCATCCCAAAATCATCCTTCTCGTAAGGAGAAAGAATCTCTCCAAGTTCCCCCTCAAATTCGAACGTCAGCGAGAAAGTGAATATTTGCAAGTTCCCTTTCCCGCGGCTGAAGGGTGAACCTTGTTCAAGTTCCCCCATCAGTCAGACCGCAGAGGGAGAGTGAACCTTTTCAAGTTCCCTCTCCCCCGCCTGGAGGGTGAGCATTTTTTTCAAGTTCCCTCTCCAACTCGATCGAATGCGGGGAAGTGAACCTTTCCATGTTCCCTCTCCCGCGACCGTAGGGTGAACCTTTTGCAAGTTCCCCCTTCAATCAGACCGCGCGAGGGAGAGTGAACCTTCTCAAGTTCCCTGTCCCTGCCTGGAGAATGAACAATTTCAAGTTCCCTCTCCAGTTCGACCACAAGCGGGAAAGTGAACCTGTTCAAGTTCCCTCTCCCGCAGCTAGAAAGAGAGCCTTTTTTTTCAAGTTCCCTCCCCAACCCCAAACGCAAGCGGGAGAATGAACCTTCTCAAGTTCCCTCTCCCGTTGGCGACGACAAGATTGGAAAGCACCACGGCGAGAAAAAAACAACACCCCACGGTGACGCAAAGTCTGCGCCAACAACACCTGGTCACTCCTCCTTGACCGCCGTACGCAAAGGGGAGCTCGGGACACAACGCGAAAGCAAACAACAAGCAAACCGCTAGAGACATCCCCACAACTCGGCGACGAACGGAACCGTGAAAGCACCCTTGGCGGCTCCCCTTAGGTAGAAAGCCAGCGCCCTGCCTGAGACATCCTCACAATCTGCTCTGCAAGCAAAACATGTTGAGAGAAAAAACAGGCAAACCGCTTGAGACATCCCCACAAAACGGCCGCGAACGGGACCGTGTCATACCCCTCGGCGGCTCCCCTTAGGGGTGTTGAAAGCAGCGCCCCGCCTGAGACATCCTCACACTCTGCTCTCCAAGCGGAGGATGTTGGGACAGAAGCCGGGCACACAGCTTGAGACATTTTCACAAAACGGCCGCGAACGAGACCGTGTCATATCCCTTGGCGGCTCCCCTTGGGGGTGCTGAAACTGGCGCCCCGCCTGACACATCCTCACAATCTGCTGTGTGTTGAATAAGTCAGAAGCTGAAATGGTCAGAACATGAGTAAGTTTGGGTATGAGAGAGTCTCAGCCTAAAAAATCTGACTACGAGTAGGTCTGACTATGCGTAGGTCTGAGTATGAGTAAGTCCGTATGATCATGTCTGAGTATGAGTAAGTCTGTGTATGAGTAAGTTTGCGTATGAGTAAGTCTAGGTATGAGGGGGATGAGGAGGAGGAGGGGGAGGAGGAGGAGGAGGAGGAGGAGAAGAAGAGGAAGACGGTGCAGGAGGCGTCCAAGTAATAATCATAACCACGTCTTAGGATATGGTAATAATCCAAACCCCAGGAAAGACGTAGACACGTCGCCCCCAGACTATCTCTGGACTATCTTCGAATATCCTTCCTGCAAAAGGACATGCCCGACTGGAACCCAGAGCCTCCGCTCTCTTGTTGGGGCCCGTTCGTGGTCCGTGGTGGGCCCCCCCCGACTCTCCGAAGCCTCGGGTTGTGCTGCTCCCATCCAACGTAAGGACCGCATGCCAGAAATGATTTCGAGCACCCATGAAAGTGTCCAAACAATATCGAACGAGCGTCGCCTCCCAGGGCCCGAAACGTGAAAACCCTCGAGGCTCGGTACTCTCTGGGTGTTTGAATTTCTTTCTGGTGAGCAAGGCTACAGCGGCTAAAGTAGGTTGGAACATGAGAAACCTCGGGCCCAGGATTTTGGGGAGGCCTCCGGAAGGCCGAGAGGGCTCCCCGCCATCCTTCCTTCGGAGTCCGAGGCCCGAGCCCATACATATCCACCGCCTGGGGAACCGACGCCACAGGACGCCAAGAATCTTGGCGGCGCGCGCAAGGGGGAGGGAGGGGGGAGGGCTTCTTAGAAGGAGGCTGCTTCTTCTTAGAAGACGCCGGCCTGACAGCTATAGATGAGGCCCGCGCCTTCTGAGAAGCAGGGGTGCTTCTGAGAAGCCCTTCCCCCTCCCCCCCCCCCTCTGCGCGTGGCCGAGGTTCAGTCGATGTGCATATTCTCGGGCCCCTCCAAAACTGAGCATTTTCTTAGGGTGGAGGGCTCAGGGTGAAATCCATGTGGGCTTCTGCACCTCGCGAACCAGCCCGTCGTGTGGTTTTCCCCCTCTGCAGACTCCAGCCTCGAACATCCGCCGACGCGGCACTTCAGACTTCACGCTTTGTCCTCCACCCAGAGAAGATGCTCGGAAAAATCAGACTGCTCACTGTCACTGCCCTTCTGCTGGGGCCCGTTGGTGCTCCGTGGTGGCCCCCCCCCCGCCGCCGCCGCCCCTCGGAGCGGGCCTGGCCCGTCGGCGCGGCCCCGCCGGGCTGGTCGTCGCTCGGCTGGCCGGCGTCGCCGGCGTCGCCCATCATGCCGGAGTCCAGCGGGAGGCTCACCGCGCTCTCCACCTCTCGGGTTGAGGTCGGGCGTGTCCCCCTAGTATACATGCGGATTTGGGAGGACGAGTGCAGAGGACGCCCGACACATGCCCCAGAATAGTCGAACAAGCGTCCCCAGACTGTGTTTTCGACCGTTTTCCAAGATTCCTCCTGTAGGAGGGGCAGGCCCGACTTCCAAGGGCTCCCCACTTCGCGCTCCGCGCGGAGCGCAAAGTGCGAACAACTTCGCGCTCTCGCGCCGCCGCCTCCCAGGGGAGAAGAGGAGGACGAGGAGGAATCGGAGCCGAGCCGCGAAGCGCGAATATTTGGACGCCCGAAGTGGGTACGGAAAGAATGGGTACAGTGCCCAACAACAAATGTTGTCCCAAACCAACAGCGGCCGCTGTTGGGCAGGCGGCCTTCTGTCTCGAATGGACACAGGCCGCGGCGGCGCGGACAGCGAGTCCTCTTCAATATGAGCAGGAACTGCTGTTGGGCATTGTACCCATTCTTCCCGTGCCCATTTCGTTCGTGCAGAGAATGACTTCGCGCCCTCGAGGGCGCCCTTGTGCAGAGGGGCAGGCCCGACTCCATTCTCGGGAGCGAGACAGCGACGCACGGCGCACGTGCAGGCGCTCACGTGGGGGGCCTGGCGCTCCCTCGCTCGAGCGCTCGCGGGCACGGAGGCGGCGGCCGCGCCGACTGGGGGGACACGCTCGTGTGCGTGGCCCGGCGCCCGCGCCCCTCTGGGGCTCGGGCACCCCTCAGCCCCTCAGGGACCCAACTCATTGAAAAAATCACGACCGAGGCTTTTCGCTGTTTTCGGCCTCTGGGGGCCCTCGCCGGGCCCCAGGGCCGTCAAAAAACGACTCAAGATGACAAACCGGTCCTGGGGAAGGGGTCGAGGCTTCCGGGACCCCGCATTGAAAAAATCACGACATCGGATCTCTGGGGAGGGCTCTCTCCCTCGCCGGTGAGCCTTCGAGCTGACCTCCTCAGGCTTGGGCTGTCTGCGACTCTGCTCCCTGGCCGGAGGCGGCCCAGGGGTTTGGTCTGGATAAGCCAATCGAGCCTCGGGCAAGAGGGGGTTTGGAGGGCGAGGGCGAATCCGTCCGCTCGAACTCGGTCCCGGGAGGAGGAGGAGGAGGAGGAGGGGGAGGAGGAGGAGGAGGAGGGGGAGGAGGAAGCAGGGGGAGGAGGAAGCAGGGGGAGGAAGAGGAGGAGGAGGAGGAGGAGGAGGAGGAGGAGGAGGAGGAGGAGGAGGAGGAGCCCTCCCAAAGTCGCAATCGATAATTTTCTCGAGCCGCGTCCGACGGCGGCGACGAGGGGGCTCCCTTCTCCTCCGTTCTGCTGGCCAGAACCGGTGCCAGGCCACCTCACAGCCCCTCCAGCCAGCTCCAACTCCCTGGTGCTGCACTGCCCGACAATTCATGGAGGGAATGGGCCCCGATCGACGACGAGCGGGCGACTGACGGGAACGCATTGTTTCCGGGGGGGGGGGGCTTTTTGAGGGCGAGAAAAATGTTCGGGAACATAATCATGCCGATCTCTCCTCCTCCACCTCCTCCTCCTCCTTTTCCTCCTTCTCTCCTCCCTTCCCCCTTGTTCCCCCTCCTCGTGCCTTCCCTCGCCCCTGGGAACCAGGCAGCCACCAAGAGCCTCTTCCTCTTCCCCTGTCTCCTCCTCCTATTCCTCCTCCTGTTCCTCACCCTCCTATTCCACCTCCTCCTCGTCCTCCTCCCCCTCCTCCTCCTCCTGCTCCTCCTCCTCCTCCCCCTCCCCCTCCTCCTCCTTCTCCCTCCTCCTCTTCTTCTTCGTAGTAATATTATTATTAATATTCTTATTCGTGTTATTCTTATGATTATTCGTATTATTATTATCCTTATTAACTGTTATTACTCGTCTTATGATTCTTATTATGCTTAGTCTTATTATTATTATTATGGTTCGTCTTCTGAATCTTCTCTTGTTCATACTGTTATTATTCGTAGTATTCGTCGTTTTCTGTTTATTATTCTTCGTATGCATACTTTTCTTACTAGTATTAGTAGTATGAGTCTTATTAATTGTCTTCTTGTTATTTTAATTCTGCTTATTAATAGTTTCTTCTTCTATTTATTATTCTTAGTATTATTCAGACTCGTCTTCTTATTATGTTTATGCTTCTGCTTCTGCTTCTGCTTCTGCTTATGCTTCTTCATATTATTCTCCTCCTCCTCCTCTTCTTCTTCTGGGTATTAGTGTCATTCTTATTATTCGGTTATTCTTATTATTATTAATATTATTGTTCGTCTTCTTATTAGTCTTCTTATTATTATTCGTCTTCTTATTATGTTTCTTCTTATTCTTCTTACTAGTCGTATTATTATTTGTCTGTTTCTGATTATTATTATTCGTCTTTTTCTTCAGATTAGTATTCGTATTATTCTTCTTGTTTTTCTTATTATGATTATTATTCTAAGTATGCGTGTTATTATTCCTCTTCTTCGTCTTATTCGTGTTAGTCTTCTGATTCGTCTTATTATTCTTCTGCGTCTGTTTCTGCTTCTTCTTATTATTCTCCTCCTCCTCCTCCTCCTCCTCCTCTTCCTCCTCCTCCTCCTCCCCCCCTCGATCTCATCTTCGTCGCCTTCAGGGTCGGCGGCGCCGGCCTTAACGCCTTCGCAATAACGTGGCATAGTGGCATAGTCATGTTCGTGTGCCTGTCGGTTCTGCGCGGGAAGGCCCTGGCCATCGCTCGGACGTCCATTCCCTGTGTTTTTTTCTTTTTCGGTTTCGTGCGTGGTTTATTCGCCAAATGATCAAAGATGCTCCTTGATGGTCCTCGCCGAAGGAAAACTGCACACGTCCGAGCGATGCCAAGGGCCCTGCAGGCCCCGTCGCGGGCAGGTTCCCCAGGGCACGGCTCCCCTCCCTGGGGCGAGCCTCAGGTCGGGCATGTCCCCCATACAGGCGGATCCTGGACGGAACATATGATGAAACATGGTCAAAGCATGCGCCGACATGGTGAAAAATAGTCCAACAATAGTCCCCAGACTGTTCGTGTTTTTTTTTGTGTGAAACTATTTTTGAAGATTCCCCCTGTAGAGGGACAGGCCCGACTTGAGGCGACCCCTCCCTTTCGCGCCCCTGGAGCCTCGCCCTGGTCGGGCGGCACTCCCGGGTCCCCGCCCGCGGCCCCGACGTCCGTGATGAAGTCGTGGTCCATGTGGGAGTCGTCCGACTGCTTCGCGACCGCGAGGCTGGGGGAACGAAGCAGGACATCAACATGAAGACTCGGAGGTCCGCGCGAATTTCTCGGATCGGCGCTGGGCCCCCCTCCCTGGCGCGCGGAGCGCGCCAGGGAGGGGGGCCGGAAGCGCCGCCTGGGGGGTCCAGTGCGGATCCGAGGAATCCGCGAGGACCTCAGAGTTTTTGTATGCTTTTGTCCTTCTTCGTTCCCCTAGAAGCCGACGCGGGGCGGCTCGTTGCGGTCGAAGATGGTCAAGAAGCGGCGGAGGAACGGGTCCCCGAAGATGAACAGTGGGCCCTTCGGGGGCGGCACGTCCAACGCCATCAGGGAGAAGGTGCAGCCGGCCACCGAGGAGCGGTCCATGTAGTCGTCGGGCTTCAGGTTCAGGACCCTGTGGCCGATCTGGAAGCCGAGATGGGGCAGGGAGTCGAAGTTCGAAGAAGAAAAACGTCATAAGCAGAAACTTTTGGCGCTCCGCGCGGATGTCTTGGATCCGCGCTGGGCTCCCCTGGCGGCGCAAGAAATCCGCGCGGAGCGCTTAAAGGTTATGTTTAATGGGATTTGTTTCTTCTTCGAGAAGTTGGAGCAGTCGGGCTTGGCGTTGATCTGGTCCGAGAGCTTGTCCACCAGGCTCGACGGCCCCGCCAGCATGGAGGTGCCCGTGTCCACCGCCACCTGGCAGCCGCCCCCGCAGAGACCCGTGGGCCTGCTGTTGAAGGTGATGTCGTCGATGCCCACCTGTATGTTGCTCCCATCGTACTTAAGGACCACATCCCAGAAATAACTTCGAGCACCCAGAACAAGTATCGAAACAGAGCCGAAAGAGTATCGCCCCCCAAGACCCGACACGCGACACCCCCCCCCCAGTTTCGGTACTTCCGTGGAGCTCGAAATTATCTCTGGTGATCGAGGCGAAAGTACAGGGCAATTTTTAATACATAGGATTTTCTAAACATTGTTTATGCATGAACTCATCCTTGTTTTTAATACAAATTCCCTGCATTTGTCATTCATGATCCGCACGCGGAACATGTATATATATATAAAGCAAAAACGGAACTGTAGGTTGGAACATCATCAGCCCACCTGCCAGTAGGACTCTCTCTTCACCTGGGAGAAGCATCCCCGCAGGAACACAAACTTTCGGAGGTCCACTCGGACGTCGGCGCTGGACCCTCCTCCCTCTCGCGCGGGGCGCGCCATGGGCGGCGCAGGAGGCGCTGCGAGGGACGGTCCAGCGCGGATCCGATCAATAAATCCGCGCGGACAGTCGAAAGCTTGCCTGTGCTTACCCATCGGTCGGGCGAAGTGAGCAGAAACATGACATAAGAGAGCGTGAGAAGTAGATTGGACCGCCACCCGCTCCCTGAAGACGAAAGAAACGGGGAAAACCCCTCGATCCTTGAAACAAGAAGACGCCTGAAATAGATTGGAATAACAGGATCCCCGAATACGTGTTTTCAAGACCGATAGGTACGTACGGCTGTTCTTCATCGATTGCCTGCGCCCACACGATGCTCGATGCCAGGTACTCAGGCCTGTAGCCGCCGAACGTCACCTCGCTGTCGCCCGTGTCCGTGAGGTAGAAGGAGAACTGGGCACCGGGCAAGGCACCCTCACCAGAGGAGGGCTGCCAGCGACTCCGAACGGCGTGAACTGCAAGGGGTGCGGTTTGCAGCGCGCACCCCCCGGGGCGGGCGGGGGCCTCGGCAGAGTTCCCCGCCGCGCCCCGAGGTCGTCCGACGATGGCAGCGCGGTGCCCCCCAAACCCCGACGCCGCAGATCGTAAACCACATCCCAGCGCAGCCACACCCCCTGCAGGCGCCGAGGCTGGTGGAGGCAACGACTGCTCGCCCGCGCAGCCCCCATCCGCTCAAAGGTGGGTCTCCGGGCCCACCCCACGGCCCGTCCTGGCCCGTCTCCCGAGGCGGCCCCAGCCGCGGCGACGAGAAGCCTCCCGGGGTCCGAAACGGCCGATGAGCGACACGGAAGGCTCCCGTTGCCTCCACTCGCCCTCCCCCCGACCTTGCCCACCAGGTCGTCCACCATGTTGAAGCCGTCCCCCATGGACAGATCCTTGAAGCCCAGGCCCATGATGCCGTCGAAGGGAATCTCCGCGAACGGCTCCGTCGTCTCGCGGTCGGCCGCTATGAAGCTCGCGCCGATGCAGAGGGACTCGCCCACGCAGAGCCTGTCCCTGAAGAAGCCGCCGGCGATCTGACCGGTGCCAAAGGTGATCTCCGAGGAGCTCTCCCCCCGCTCGTTGTTCACCGCCTGCCGTGGCGGCACGCGTACGAGGTGAGGGGCGAAGGGTGCCGCCTCCGTGAGCAGAGGGCTCCACCTCTCAAGCAGAGGCCCCCCGGCCCCCTCTCCAAAGGGCTCCCAAACTGCGCGCTCTCGCGCCGCCTCCCAGGGGAGGCGAGGAGGAGGAGGAATCGGAGCCGAAGCGCGGAGCGCGAATGGCTTCGAGGGCGCCCTTGCCTCTCAGAAGGGAGACGCGTCGGACTGGCCATGCGTTGGCAGACAGATTGAGCGCGTGCAGATCGCACGCGTGCTGGCATGCAGGGCAGCGCGCGATTGCACACTGCCTCGGGGCGCCCAGGGGCCCAGGGAGAGGCAAAGAACTCGACACGAGCGTCAGGCCTCCCTGTGTTGTGCATCTTCAAAAAAACATGTCGTATTCCCAACGGGCTCCCACTTTACTCAAAAAGACTTCCGTGGAAGTCAGGTAAGCGTTTTCTCATTCGGCGTTTCGACATTGGGCGGAAGGGGGGGAGGGGGGGTCTGGCTCCAGACCTCTGCTCAGTGCGACTGTCGGCAGCAGGGCGGCCTGTGGGGTAGGGCCCCCACCTGCTCGAAACGGGCGCCAACGAAAAAAGCCAAGATCTACTCCATGGGGAGGGGGGAGGCGGGTTTTTGGGGCCCGCGCTGATCGGCAAGGCAATGCATACATAACGATCCCTTCTTTGTGCTGCTGCTTTGATCTTATCTTTCCCTCCCGAGGATTCAAGGATGCAAAAACGCCCCTACCCTGGGTTACAAGTGCGTGGTCCGTAAACCTCCTGGGAGCTCCCCAAGGCCAGAGAGCCGCCAGGACGCCGCGCGACACGCGCGATATGCAAGGCTCACCCTGTCAGCCCACAGGAGGTTCGGCGCACAGCGCCTCGTAAACCAGGGTAGGGGCGTTTTTAACGCCCTTGAGAGGAGATTCTCCGAAGGCCGCCCCCCCCTCGCCCTGCTCACGGCCCCCCCCCAAAAAAACCTTCTGCCCCGGGGTGCCCCTTCTGGACAGGGCCGGGCCTAAACGATGCTGTTTCTCGTTCTGTCTCCGTTTTGCTGTGCGTTTTGCTCCACCTGTTTTCCTGCACCTCCCTCCCGAAACGAAAATCGGGTCGGGCGGAAAGGGGGGACAGCAAAGGGGGGGTTTGAGAATCAGCTCACATAGCTGATTTTCCCGGCGCCTCCCGGCGCCAGAGGCGGGTATGTATCGAGGAATGGGCCCCTCGGTGAGGCCGAAACCAGCTGCATGCAGCAAATTTCGTAACCCCTCCTTTCCCAACAATCCCCCCCATTCGTCCGGCCCGAGAAAAACAGAGCACAGCCGAAGTCCAGCAAAACGGCGTTTAGATCCAACCCTGCTTCTGGAGCTTTTTCCGCAGGGGCCAGCTCTCCGCGTCCGCCCGCGGCGACGACGACCCCCTCCCTCCAGCAACGCCCAAGACTCAGGTCGGGCATGTCCCCCTACCTGCGGGTTCTGGACGAGAAAAAAGACAACTGCTCGAAGAACGCTCAAACATCGTTGAAACAATGCCCCCCACATTCGTCCCCAGACTATGTTTGGACTATTTCGAATATTCCTCATGTAGAGGGACACGCCCGGCGTAAGCCTGGACCAATTTTCCGCGTCAGTCCGCGGCGACGAGACCCCCCAGCAACGCCCAAGAGTCACCAGCACGACGACTTCGTCGGCGACGCCGCCGCCGACGCTCGCGCGTGTCGCGAGCCTGCGCTGTGCTGGAGGCGTTCCGCCGGAACTTCCTGTGCGGCGCGCAGCCCGCGGAGGTGCAGTCCGAGCTGGGCACGATCAGATTGCCGCTGCCGGTGTCGAAGATGACCTTGAAGGGCTGCGGCGGGGTGCCCAGGGTCATGGTGCCCCAGTACCTGCGAGAGAGAGAGAGAGAGAGAGAGCGAGAGCGAGCGAGCCAGCAAGGGTGCAGGCCAGAGAGGGTGCAGGGTGAAGGAGTGCGGCGCCGCCGATGCAGCGCAGCAGGAGCAGCGCTCGTGCCCGTCACCGAGATAGAGGGGGAGAGAGCACGCCACGCACGTCAGGGGCGCACGCGGCAAACTCCCGCCCGGACGACGCGGGCATGTCCTGCGGCAACTCGTGGGAGCATCCCATCCCATCTTGATGGCTCGTGCGAGTTGACGCGAATCGACGCTCTTAGACGCCAACTCGACGCGAATCAACGCTAATCGACGCTAGTCGAGGCTAAATCGGCGCTATGTCATCGATGATCAGACGCCCAATCGACGCTAGTGCGCTCCAAAGACCAAATTTGCAGAGGTATACATAGAGGCCTCCTAGATGAGGTCGGAGTAGATGGGGTCGGAGGATCGCACCGCGTCGCCCATACATCTTCGATGCATCGGTGATGCACCAACGATGTATCGTCGACGTCGGCGATGCATCGTCGACGTCGACGTGAGGCAAATCGGGTCCCACATCGAGCCGCATCGGCGATGCATCCGATGCATAGGAGATGCGGCGCGATCCTCCGACCCCATCTACTCCGACCCCCTCTAGGAGGCCTAGAAGACAGTGGGGGCGCGCATCAAGATACCATGCGTTTTTCGTCAAGGCATCCTGGGTTTCTTCTCTCCGCAAGCTGCGCGGTGACACGGTGACTCCCCGCAGCCGTCGAAGCAGCTGCTGCGTTCAGGGTGCTCTGGGCTTCACCTCGGGTGCAGCTCGCGCGCGGCTTTTCAGGGCTGGGCTTCTGGCGAGGGCTTCTTGCGGCCGCGCCCGCACTGTACGAGGCTCCCCCGAGGGAAGGGATCCAGGACGCAGAGGTGTACCCTCAGGACGGACATCCGCGGGTCCTCACGAGAGTTTTGACTGTGGGCATGGATCTGCAGAGGGACCTCTTGGGCCGTCTTGGGGCCATCTTGGGCCGTCGTGGGGCCGTCTTGGGGGCCTCTTGGGCCGTCTTGGGGCGGTCTTCGGGGCCTCTTAGGCCGCCTTGGAGCGTCGGAAAACCCACGAGACGAATTTGTGAAAACTATACGTTTTACAAAGGAAATTAATATTTTTTCTGCGTCTGGGGACCCTCTTGGCAGGGTTCCGCGGATCCGGGCGTCGCGAGGTTGCCTCTCCACGGGGCGCCTCCGCCCGGCCTCGGGCCCCACCGGCCCTCACAGGCCGACCGGGCCCGAGAAAGGATGCAGAGAGACGGGGTCCGGGGCTCTGGTCGTGACTCTTCACGATCGAAGGATTGCAAAAAAACCCAGGATTGCAAAAAAACACAGGATTGCAAAAAAAACACAGGGTTTTTTTGCAATCCTTCGTTTTTTGCAATCCTTCGAAAAAGGATGCAGAGAGACGGGGTCCGGGGCTCTGGTCGTGACTTTTCACGATCTTGAGGGTCGCTTAACCGATCCTCCTCCCCACCAGCGTGGGCTCGGCCCCGCTGGCCGATGTGCCCCCCCAGATGGGGATGTGGGCCGTACCCTTCGGGTTCCGAGGGGCGTATCCCCAACTGGAGGTGTAATTTGGTGGGGGTCTCGAAGGGGATGGGGGTGGAGGATGAGGATGAGGATGAGGATGAGGATGAGGATGAGGATGAGGATGATGATGATGATGATGATGATGAGGAGGAGGAGGAGGAGGAGGAGGAGGAGGAGGAGGAGGAGGAGGAGGAGAGGGAGGAGGAGGAGGAGGAGGAGGAGAGGGAGGAGGAGGAGGAGGAGGAGGAGGAGGAGGAGGAGGAAGAGGAGGAGGATTAAACGATACTGAGATCTGGCCATTTTCTTCGCACCGTCGAGTCCGCAGGGGCACGGAGGCGACCCGGGCGGCTTGCCTCTCAGGGGCTGCCGCAGGGCGCGGGGCTTGCCGCGGGGGCCTGAGCTGGACGGGCCCCGAGTCTCTGTCACGAAGCGGGGCTGAAGTTGAGTCGGGGCTGTTCTCCTGAAGGGGGATCTTGGACGATGAATCGTCCCCCGACTATATCAAAAACTTGGACGATATATCGTCCCCCGACTATATCTTGGACGATGAATCGTCCTACATGGGGGTCTTGGACTCCAAACAGTACCCCAACATGATCAACAAATACAAACGAAAATCGACCCCCGACTTTTTTAAAAACTATTTTTGAAAATTCCTGCTGTAGGGCCCGACTTAAGGCTGGAGGCGAATCCGCTCGAAATCAGTCCCTGGACCACTCCCGGGGACCGTCTGGGGCAATTTTTCAGACCTGATCCGTTCTTGACGGTCCGAAAACTGCTCCCGGAGGCCGAACACAGCGAAAAACCTGATCGATCGAACCCAGAACCTCGACCCTCCTGCTGGCAGGAACCAGGGCTGGGCCTCCTCAGATCCCCAGCCGACTCCAACGCGGGGCGATGAGCCAGGGGAGCGCGAGAGAGCAGAACACTTGGGGGCTGCAAGAGGTGCTTCTGGCCCAAGGTGTCCCTGGCCTTTCGCGCCACCCGGGAGCCCATGGGGCCGTCTGGGCATCGCGAGGGGTGCTCTGGAGGCCTCGGAGGCTTCCTGGGCAATTTGGGGGACACTGTTCAAGAGCGAACGGAAAACGTACGTGTGCATTAGTTGCCGTGGGTCTCGTAAATATGCGTTGCGCGAACGTTCGTGACACGAAGCTGGCCTCGCGGACTAGGGGGCCGTATTCATGTACATGGCTGGGCGCGTATGTCTTTCGTAAGCTCCCGAGCTATGGGCCAGAGACACCTTAGGTATCACCCGAAGCACGACCAGGGGCGAGTGACGAGCGCACAGGAGGGAACACAGCACACGATCAGAGCTCCACTGCCTGCCGTCGGCCTCGGAGAACAACAGTGCGGTGACAGACCGTGCGGTGACCTGGAAACTCAAATGATTCTCCTCACATGGTCAGCCGCCGCATGGTTCTTGGACCGTGGAGGCCCCAATCATTCGAATCATCTTTGGATATCTACCCACATGCCAACACCGAGAGCTCACCCATATGATCCCCGCTGACTTACCCGATGACATTCCAGACGAAGCCAGGACGATGATACACTCCAGAACGAGGCAGGTCGAAAGACTCCGAGACCGGGGGGCCTGGAGGATGCCTCGGGCGCCGCGGCCACTCCCGGAACGCCCACGGGACGCTGCGAGAGCGGTGCGGAACGCTGCGGGGTGACCCATCGTTGTCCCAGGCCGCTGCCCAGGGCTGAACCTAAAGGGTGTTTTTCGTTTTCGGGTTTCGCTTTCCCTCTTCAATCCACCGCTACCGCAGAACGAAGTCGACACGAAAACGGCCCACGAGATCGCCAAAAACACTGTTCAGGTCCAGCACTGCCTCTGCCTCATGTGCAGTCCCCGCGTTTTTCCTGAAGCTTCCGAGTTCGCTGCAGCCCCTGGGCCCCTGCCGGCGCGCGCCCCGGCACGGGGGGGCAGCGTCGGAACGCCAGGAGGGCCAGCCCTCTCCCCCTTCTCCTCCTCCTCCTCCTCCGATGGCGACGCCCCCCCCCCCCCGCAAAACTCCATAGGGGGTCGAAACCATCCCAGATCAATTTCTGACGGTCTGGGCGGCACGGGCAAGGCCAACGAGGCCCACATCGAGAACAACTCCAGCGTGACTTCTTCGCGCCTCCTCTCTCCTCGTCCTCCTCCTAAGGGCACGCGGTCTTGTGGATCACCCGCAGGGCCTGCACCGAGCGGAACCTGACCCGCGCGAGGAGGAGATGGCCAGGAGACAAGGAACAGAAGAGCAGGAGGGAAAGGAAGAATGAGGGAGGAGAGGGACGAGGTACGAGGGACGAAGATGATGATGACGATCTGATGCTGCTGATGATGATGATGATGGTGATGAAGTTGATGATGCTGACGATGCAGATGCCAATGACGACGGTGATGCTGATTATGGTGATGATGCTGAAGATGATGCTGAGAGTGATGGTGATGATGATGATGATGATGATGACGACGACGACGACGACGATGATGATGATGATGATGATGATGATGATGATGATGATGATGATGATGATGATGATGATGATGATACTGATACTGATACTGATAATGATGATGATGATGATGATGATGATGATGATGATGATGATGATGATGATGATGATGATGATAATCATGGAGATGATGATGTTGATGCTGTTCATGATGATGGCAATGATGGTGATGACGACTATGACGATGGTTATGACGATGGTGATGGTGGTGGTGGTGGTCGTGATGATGCTGATGACGATGATGGTGATGATGGTGATGCTTATGATGATGCTGATGGTGATGATGATTCCGAAGCTGATGATGTTGATGCTGCTGATGATGATGATTATCAACATCATCATGATCGGGACCGTGTTACGCACGACGTCTGGCGATGCCAGAACGGAGGCGAAGAAAGGAGGATTCGAAAACAAGGGCCACCCCTATACCTCTTCCACCCGTCTTCCAAAACCTGCCGCCGTGCAGACATGTTCGGGCTCCGGCAAGGCCCGAGGGCACCCGACGACTGCTCCCGTGGCCATGCGCCGAGATCAAAACCGACGGAGATACCGTCCGCCCACTGGGCGGCCAGGCGCCAAGCACAACCCGGCAGGCCGCCTCAGCGGCATCAGTACCACCAGGCCACCGTGCAGGCCAGCACGCACCGCCGCTGTTCTGGCACGGCTTGGCACGCTCGCGACATGAGGCCGAGGCGGAGACCTGCGCAGCGGACGCGCTGGCGCTCGGTCTCGGGCTCCTGACCGAGGCAGCAGCTGCAAGCGACAGGCATAGTAGTTTGGCGGCGAGCAAGAGTGCCTTCTCAGAAGGCCTGGCAGTCCCCTCGGACGTCGGAGAAGTTTTCTGAGCCTTCCCCGAGTACAGAATCCACTTCGCAGAGGGCGCGGGGGCTTCTGAGAAGACCCGCCGCCCTCTGAGCAGGCCTTCTCCTCCCCACTTCCCCCCCTCGCTCGGCCGCCGAGCAGTGCAGCCGAGGCTCGGCCCCAGGCCCCGGGAAGCCCAAACCCACTTTCGGCCCTCGCGCCACTGACCTCGGAAGTCACGTCGGTGTGGCCACGGTCTGCCGGGGGACGCGCATGTCCCCACTGCCCGAGGCAGCAGCTGCGAACGACTGGCCATCGCTCGGACGTCCATTTCTTGTGCTTCTTTCGGTTTTGTGCGTGGCTTTTTCGCCAAATGATCGAGGATGCTCCTCGATGGTCCTCGCCGAAGGAAAAATGCACACGTCCGAGCGATGCCAAGCCCGAGGCAGCAGCTGCGAGCGACAGGCGCGGGAGTGCAGCCGAGGCGCGGTCCCAGGCCTCGGGCAGCGGCGGCCGGGGCCACGCGGCCTCCCGCCGAGGGGTGGCCGTGGGAGCGGCGGGCGGTCTGCCTACAAGACGTGCACCCCAGCCTCCTGCGTCGGGTCGGCGCCTCTCTTTCTTCGTGACCGGTGGGCCTGTTTTCCACCACCACCACCAGAAGTTGGAGGGGGGAAGGAGGACGAACAGGAGGAGGAGGAGGAGGGTGAGGAGGAGGAGGAGGAGGAGGAGGAGGAGGAGCAGGAGGAGGAGGAGGGGGACCCCCTCCCCCTCCTGCTTACACTGTTGGTGGCGGACACTGTGCCAATCAGTGACGTTTGCCTCGGTCACCATCTCGCCCATCGTCAGGTCGCACACTCGCAGGTTGCTGGGGCACCGCCGCCAGCACCCGAGCGCGGCGATGACGACGGCTCCGTCGACCAGGCCAAGGCTGTCCACGTAACCAAGAGCCAGGAACAGCACGTATACGGAGGCAAACCCGTCGAACAAGCACTCGATCCTCACCGCGCTGGAGCGGAACAGCTCCACATGGAAGGTGAACCAAGCTGGCTTGTGAACCGTCAGCCAACTGCCGCTCCAAGGGCTCACATGAAAACGGCCAGCTTGAGAGGCTGCGCGACAAGGGCAGCGCACAACAAGCCTGGCAATGTTGAAGACGAAGCGGCGCGCCGATACCAGCGCGTAGATAAGGCCCCCACGTGCACGATGCGCAGCGTGGCCAATCGGTTGGCGCGGCGCACCTGCATGCCGAGGTAATACAGCGCACCGCCACACGAGGCACGCACAGCGGCGCGAGTTTCAGCGACTCGATGATCATGCCCCCGATCAGGTGCAGGACGACGCCGCCCACCGAGAAAATCACCCTCAGCACCACGAGGAGGCCCACGGCAAGGTGCAGGACGTGCGGCGCAGATCACGAGGCCGAAACAACAGAGCGCTCGATGGCTCAGTCCACGGCATTGACGGCGTGCGGCGCGTTCTCCGAAGGCACGACGAGAAGGCGCGGCCTCCGAAGGCGTTGACGGCGTGCGGCGTGAGGCGCGTGTGACGGCATTGACGGCGTGCGGCGTGGCACGGACCGCCGTTCCCAGGCTGCCGACGCCGCCCTCCGAAGACACGCGCCCCTCTTCACCGCGACGGAATCACAGCCTCCTCGATCCTCGTGGCAGCGCTCCTTCGCTGCCGCCCTGTCGACCAGGGCGACCAGCTCCGCCCCGCGCGCGGCGGGAATTTGGAGGGGCCCTGGGACACACAAATCCGCCGATCCGGCGTGTGAGTTTCAAGGAGTCCCAGCTACAGCCTCGAGGCTGAACCTCAGCCTCTGGGGGGGTTGCCGGGGTGGCTCTGCCGGGGAAAGGGGGGTGGGGTGGGGGGGGGGGGGGCGAGTTTCTGGCGGATGCGTTTTTTGACACCCCTCACAAGGATCGTGGCCTCCGAGGGGGTTCCGAACTCGAGTACCACCCCTCCCGCACCAAGAGGCTCCGAGGAGGCCTCCAAGAGGCCCCAAGGGGCGCAGAAGAGGCCCCCAAGAAGCCCCAAGAGGCTCCCAAGAGAGCCCCAAGAGGCCCTCTAGTAGCCCCAAGAGGCCCAAGAGGCCCCCAAGAAGCCCCAAGAGGCGCCCAAGAGGCCCCCAGAAGTCCCAGCCAACCACGAGATCCCAACCAGTATCCATGAGGCCTCTGACCCACCACCCACGCACGGTGGCGGGATAGGCCGACGGCCACTGGATAAATGCTGAGTGAGAGGAGGGGAGGGAAAAAGAGAGGAGGGACGAGGGCGAAAAAGGATCACATCAGTCGGAGCGCCCCGGATCGGCGGCACGGGCCGAAGTCCACTACAATAAATACACACAAACAAACAGATTCCCAATATTTTTCAATGTTTTCTTTGGTTTTTGTCTTCCCCCCCACTTCCCATATTTTGGCATATTTTCCTGGGAATCGACGATTAATTGTGTCTGTGTGTTTCTTTCCCTCCTGAGAGCTGGCGGCGCGCAAAAAGGGGTAGGGTGAGGGGGGAAGGCTTCTTGGAAGCACCCTGCCTCTCAGAAGACCCCAGCCTTGCGCCTGTACGGAAGGCCAGTGCCTTCTGAGAAGCGGGGGTGTTTCCAAGAAACCTTCCCCCATCTCCCTACCCCCCTCTGCGCGTGGCCGAAGGAAAGCGTGGATAGGGTGCACGGCGGTGCACCGAGCCCGCGAGGCTGCGCCCGCCGCCGTGCACCCTACCGTCCACGTTCTCCGGGCAGAGGCGGCGAGCTGACTTCCCATGTCCGACGCGCGCGGCCGCCGGCGGGCGATTGTGCGCCGGGGGCAGGGAGAGCTAGCGGAAGACGAGACGGATGCGGGTGATGATGATGATGATGATGATGATGATGATGATGATGATGATGGTGGTAATGATGGCAACGTTGTGATGGTGTTGATGGTGATGAGAGGGAGGACGATGACGATCATGATGATGGTGATGATGGCGATGATGGTGATGCTGCTGATGGTGCTGATGAGGAGGACGGTGATGGTGACGATGGTGCTGGTAATGATGCTGATGATGGCAATGACGACATTGATGGTGATGGGGATTTTGAACGATGACGATGATTATGATAATGATCCACGCGTCTGAGAAGGTCTGGAGCTCCCCGCTCGTTACAGCCTTCCGAAGCCTGGGCCTTTCCCTCTGGCGCTGCGGTCGCAAGGCCCGACCCGTGCCCTAGGCACACTCGCAGACTCACCTGAAAGCCTAAGGCCACGCCAACCGCCCCAGCCAGAGGCAGGCGGTAGGCAGGGCTTGCAGCACTCACGGCAACTCAGCTCGCAATGGCTCGAAGTGCCACCACCGTGCAAAAGGTCCCCTGGCCCTGGCCACACGCTGGGACGGCTTGCACTGCGGTGGCCTTCGGAGGCGAACATGGCGGTCGGTGTGCCTACCACCATCGTTCAGCCTCCGACTGGCGGCACAGAGCACAGAGCGGGCTGGAGTGCAGCAACTGCGCGGGCCGTCGCGCCGAAGCGCGCCAGCAGCTACATTAAACGGATGCGCCTGGGGCGCAGGACTCGCCACGGGGCAGCAACACGTCCTCTGGCACATGGCCACACCGAGGACTGGTTGCTGCCCCCTGGCGCGGAGCCCGATCCCGTGCGTGGGTGAACCTACGCACCTGGTTCAGCTTCCGCTCGAGCGACAGCCATGCACAGAACACCGAGCTAGCACGAGCAGACAGCGAGCGCGCCGCCAAGGGCGGGCAGAATGCCGACAGGCGGCGAGAGACAGAGCGGGCAGCAGCTAAAAGGGAGGCCACTGCGAGGCTGCTAGGCTAGCCGCCGTCCACGCGCCTCCGCATTCGCCGAAGGGGTTCAGGGTCGCCGATGCCTCCAGTACCCGCTGGCTGTAGGCCTC